GGGTTTATGTCCAAAAAATCCTTGTATTTGAATATATAGGCTCATGAAGTCATGACATTTTTCATAAAACACGTAGTGAAATTTTCAACTAGTTTAGGCAGATTTTTGACCTAACTTCTTGACCAATTTTCACCTAGTTCCAAGATGAATTAGCCAAAGTGGTCAACACGAAGGATGTAGAAAACTTTTAAAGATTTCCAAAGTTTCCAAGAACTTGAAGATATCATGCTTGATCTAGGAGAATCAAAGAGAAGAAGTTGAGCTTTCGTTCTTGAATTAAAGGTCATTTTGATGATGAACACTTGATCAAATCTCAAGCCATGCTGCATAAATCTTGCTTTGCATGTTTCTAACTTGCAAATCACTCCATAATTAATTTTTTACACAACTGTTAGAGCTATGATCCAAGAATTTGAGCCATTGTCCAAGAGATTCATCCATTTTTGGCATAAAGTAACATTGCCATTCTTGTAAAATTGCTTTAATCACAAAGTCAACTTGTCTTGAGACTCTAACTTGTTTGTTCTGAACACGCTCAACATACAAGATCAGATAAGCATGTTTAAACCCTCTAACTACTCTAGATTTCTTTGTACTTCACCTTTGGATAATGTTTGTCAAGTTTGCTTCAAAAACAAGTCACATAACCATAACATGTGATTTCTTGATTCTGATTATTTCAAGCCTTAAAACCTCTTGCCTATAAATAGAGAGGTCATGTGCAACCTAACACACAAACGCAAAAGCCTTTAAACTCCCTCAAACACTCTCAAACTCATAATTTCTCTCAAACTCCACTTTTGTGGCATTTCTGACTTTGAACATCCAACTTCAAATCCACTCGTGCATTTTCCATTCCAATCCTTCAAACATCATCCATACACTATATAGAAGTGATCTAGGACCCTGTTACACAACTGTAAAACCTCCATCATCATCCTCCATTTCCAAAAACAGAGTTCTTCACATTGACTTCTCCAGGAAGATTCAAGCAATCTCGGCACAAAGTAAGCTTTGCATTAGCTTCATAGGAGTCCACTAAAGTTATTCAGATCATCACAACACCTCGAGGAGTGCTCAAACACCATACACGATTTCGAGTTTTGAGGTAAGCTTTATCAACTTTGAACTCTCTATACAAGCATCATTAATGGTTATCTTGTGAATAAAAAATGTAGACATCATAGCCCTGAAGCTAACCATGCCCTTAGTTTTCATTTATGTTGCCTGACTGATGCGAATTTTGAAGATGAACTTTCTGAAAAATTAGGTTTTTATTTGGTACTACTAAGATTCTCATTCATCTTTGATTTATAGCTCATGAAATTTATATGGTTGAATTCGTATTGAAAAATAGAGCAAGTTTCATGTTTACATTTTCTGATTTGGTTGAGAAATGAGAAAGTTACAAAATTCAAAAATGGTGATGAAAAGGCTGGCGCGAGGAAGAAGATGAAGTTATAATCAGGACTGAGTTTATTTTAAATTTAGTGCAAGTTGTATTAGTAACGGAAGAAACAGCCACCTTAGTGGCAGAGAAAGCGCGCGTAAGGCATTACCCTATGGGGACCTGGGTTCGAGCCCTAGTGGTACCCTTTTGTATTTTTCTTATGTTTTCTTTGCAGATTCAGCGCATTTGGCTTCCTTGAGACTATCATGGACCCTCACCCCTTCACCATAGAATCATCATAAGGTCCTATCCAACGCTCCATGATGCAAGCTCATGGTGCACCTCAAGATATCAATAACACGTGATCAAAATAGGTGTTGGACTGGAGATGTTTGGGTCTTTTTATTTTTGATTTCATACACCATCCATACTACTTTCAACAACCAAGCCCATACCACTTTTTTTTTTCTGATTTCCAACAAAAACTGTTTTGGTCCCAGCGCCCCATTTTTCTTTTTAACCCCGATTTGCTTTTTAAAATCCCAGTCCAATATTTTTTATTTCTTTTATATTTTATTTATTTTAATTTATATATATATATATATATATATATATATATATATATATATATATATATATATATATATATATATATATATATATATATATATATATATATATATATATATATATATATATATATATATATATATATATATATATATATATATATATATATATATATATATTACCTAAGCCAAAAACCACCAAAAATATATATTTTTAATAAAATAAAAAAATATTTTAATTTAGCCATTTTATTTTATTAAATTAAATTTTATTATTTCTTTTACATGGTAAAATATTTTTCAAATTAACATTAATATTCAAAATTATTTTCTAAACAAATTAAATTAGACTTAGATTTTATTTTAATTAACTTAGACTTTAGGTTTTGTTAAATATTAATTAACTTCTCTTGTATTTAAAATTAACTAATTTAAAATAGGTTAATCTTTAAACCTTTCTATCAAAAAATCCTTAGAAAACAATTTCTTGCTTTATATTTACATTTTGTGCATAATTATTGTTGTAATTCATATTCAATGGTGTGTAATAGTAATTAGGGCTATGTTGCTTTCTTCCCCTATTCACAAATTGTGCCTCCCATTCCCAAAGCGTTGTAATAGCATAGGACATTTAAATTCCACAATTTATCGCTCTCCTTATTATTGCTAATAATTAGGGTTTGCATGATAAGACTAAAATCAAACCATAGAAAATCTTAATTCAAAGATAATATACATGAAATCAAACACCTTGCACACTTTCACCTCTAGAGTAACCCACACTTGTTGCCTCAGATTCAAACAGTTATGTCCCTCGAATGTGGGATGTTTTAGCAAAGACCCTCGATTAATAGATCATAGTCCCTCGATGACCCTTCAAATGTTGCCTTCGGTAAATGATCTTAGTCCCTTACGACAATTGCTAAAACACCTTACAAGTTGCCTTCTATGACTGTACGACGACCCACAGTTGTCCCTCACATCCAATGATATGGCTTCCTACTAACTAATGGTAGACAAGCACTATCTGAAGGAGGAGGAAAAGAACCAAGACTTTTTGAGTAGGTAGATTGCTCGTAATTTCTTGCTCACAAACAAAACCATTTTCATACTTCACACTTTCAAAACATTTGTCAAAACAAACATTTTGTATACATTCTCAACGATACGAGAATCATTACAAAATCGCCTTACATTTTCAAACATCTTTTCAAACACTCCTTTTCAAGCAAAATATTTTCAAAACCAACACTTTGTATACATTCTCAACGATGCGAGAATCATTGCAAAGTTTGCCAAACTTAAGCGTTTTCATAATATTTTCAAACTTACACAAATACAAAGCATTTCAAAGTGATCAAGCAATTAAGAGCCCGTAGATAACTACGGATGAGAAGGATGCTAACACCTTCCCTTTTCATAACCTACCCCCCGAACTCAAGAAAATTCTCAAAAAGTCTTTCCCGTTCTTTTCACCATTTCCTTTATTGGATAAAAGAAAAGTCGGTGATGACTCTTGCTATCCGTAACACTTGCGATCAAACGCAAAACACCCAAGTCAGTTCTCCTACCATAATACAACTAGAAACCACTGTGGAAGGTTGTTGTAAGAGGCCTCCCAATTTCCATAAATATCTTCAATTGCTTTGTTCTTTGCAATCCATGCCTTTTTGTAAGATACGATGTAGCCATAAGTCGAACGAATATGAGCAATAATATGTCTAACCTTGATTACCACGCCACTGTCGACAAGAGGTCTGATGTTATAGGCGATCATTTTTTAGGTAAGATTTTCGTGATCTTGAGATATAGCAGTCGACATGCAAGTGTATGGTCCTCCAATTCTGCCAATAACCCATTGACCACGCTCATCCCTTAACGAAGCTCTGCATGTGAAGTTGCATCCCTCCTTTTAATATTTAATCAAATATCGTGTTAGATCAGACTTACAAACCTTAAAAGTATAAGAATTTTTTATGTGATATTCAGATATTGCATGGAGACATGCTTCTTTGTTTTAAAACGCCATACCATCTTTTAAGTCTTCTTGTGACTCACATTCGTTTATGGTTTCAAAGACTAAAATGGGTTCAAAACACTCAAAGGAAACATTTCTTAAGTGATACGGTGGGTTGTACAGATCAAGTATAGGAGTCGAGTCTGCTTCCTGTCTGTCATCGTCACCTGAATCGTCACTAGAACCACTAAACAAATTAATTCGACTGGCATCGTCAGAGTCAATATCATCACCAACTTCCTCTTTGGGAAAGAATGGATCGTTATGTTGTGCTTGGACGGACTCTTCTTGTAGGGAGGCATGACTTAGTTGATACACATGAGTTTGTGATGATTGTGTTGGATATACTTCCTGAACCTGTTGAAAACAAACATACAACTCCATTGTTTGTTGACTGCAAAACCTTGAGTGGCATTGAAGCATTGAACAAACATCTTCACCGTCTTTGATTTTTGCAGTGTTGTATGTGACATTGTGATCAAGTGGATTAACTATTGGAAATCGATAAAAAATAAAAGTAACATGTTATTGTAAACTTTCTTCTATTTTTTTCGTCAAGTGGACTAAATCACTTTTTCGATGAATATTTAAGATCTTTGTATCTGTATTTTGAAAGACCACTCTAATATTATTATCAGCAAATATACTACCATTGAAATGTAAGAGACAAGAAATATGATTTTTTGACATTGTTTGAAGTAATATTTAATAATGGTGTGGATACAAAAGACAACTGTATTGGTTTTAAACAAAGCAATTTCAAATTCGGTTCCTGCATGTTGTCGCCATATCAAATGGCGTGAAGCCTAGAGTCTCACCATCTCAAATGGCGTGAAGCTTCTCAAATGGCGTGAAGCTTAGAGTCATGCCATCTTAAATAGCGTGAAGCTTAGGCTCCATGTCTAATGGCGTGAAACTTAGAAAGTCACCATGTCAAATGGCATGAAGGCATAGTTGTTGGAGTGAAGGGCATGCGTGCCATCTATATAAATGTAACAAAAAACGATTCTGATTTCACATCAAAATGACTCTGATACTCTGCTCAGTATACATTATTTCGTACAATTCACAGGTTGCTATGTTTGATTATAGAAATACATTTTCTAATCCTTTAGTTGTATGGCTTATTGAAAGGCCTAAACTCATTCACTTGAAAAACCAATTGCGTCAAATCACAAATATTAATAGGAGCATTACAGAGATATCTTTCAACCAGACTATAATCAACGAAAATAGAGTGTTGATGAAGCATATTACAAAGTTAGTTGCAAATGCAGATGTATTTAAAATGTTTGAGGATTTTCGAATTGTTGTTAATAAGACACCATTTGATTTGTATGTTAGATTCAATAGATCAACAGATGAAGTTTTATCATTGTGTATACAACCATGTAACTTACAACATTCGCAATAAATATACAAATGTGTAATTATTCAACTCTAATTAAATTATCCAACTCCCTACCAACTCTAATTAAATTATTCAACTACCAACCAAGTCTAATTAAATTATTCAACTACCAACCAACTCTCATCACTCTCAAATTTTTCCTATAAATACTCAATCACTTTCACCTCATTTTTCCACAAACAAACTTCATTCTATTCACTCCACACTCTCTACTCTCTTTTGATAAGTTGCTCAGTTAATTCTTCATTTTCACAATTATGATCAATATGTTTTGGTATGGTACAAAATATAGGGGAACAATAGAAAATATCAATGCTGTAAATTTTTTTTATTCTTTCAATATTATTAATATTATTTATTTTTGTTCCTTCAATATTATTTTTGTTCTTAGAATATTGTTGCATATTAATATTGGATATTTTTATGTATTATTTATTTTTATTACAGATTGATGATAGTTATGTTTCAAAATGGAGAACTCGAGCTCACAAACCTCTTAAGTCACATGCAGTCATAATCCCTTACCTACACCAATCTGGTTTCTACCATGTATCCCTTACGCAAGAAGGTAATATTTTAATTTTAATTTATAATTAAAATTTTTAGGATACTTTAAAATAAAGTTTACGTTTTAATTCCTTTTAGGTGGTGCATCAAGAAAATTGACTACCAAAATAATTCGCGCCACCATCTACAAGAATACCCATTCAGGATTGATCACATGCTTCAAGATCAGGTTTTTTTGTCTTCACTTTATTACTTCATATAAATTTGTGAATTTTATTTTGATTACACTAACAAATTTTATCTATAACTTTTCAATTTATTTGGAGGCCGTATCTTAGATTAGTGTCACAAAGGCACGAGGACAGCTTGATATGGAGCTCAACTACATATATAATATATTTTCATATTGTAGAAATGCATTAAGCTGATAGGGTCAAACTATAATTTGGCCATTTATAAGGGATACCTGAAGAACCTTGATGCTTGACAGAACACCATAAAATGACAATAATCAAATAGCGCGAACAATCATATACCATATTATACTCCGTTGAGAAAAATTATTGGTTGCATCGGGAAATGTTTACATTAGATGGAGATCAATTACAAATGGAAGAGAAACCGTCCAATGAGTACATGCAATGGTATCACTCGCTTCCATATAGATATGCATCATACGAACAATTTGTCACTGATCCTCATCAAAATCAGTATGCCCTGACTCAGGCAAGTGACTCTCAACAAATTCCATAACCCTTCCAACAACAACCACATCACTCATATCATTCTCAACCTCCTCATCCACAACCCTTCCAACAACAAACACCTATCCCCCACTATTCCCAACAACAAACACCCATCCCCCATTATTCTAACCCTCATTTTTCTCAGCTACAAACTCCTACCCCTTATTTTTACTAACATCAAACCTTTAACACCCAATACCCGCACTCTCACTCCCAATCATATTACATCTATGAATCCCAACAACCACACATATACCATCGACCAACTACGTAATTCATACACATCCTGCAACCAAACTTTGATTCTCCCTCCTCCCAACATAACCCTACAATGTCTAACATACAACCATCCACAACGCTTTATGTTTCAACCATGTGTCCGCCACAACAAACCCAACACAATTTTGATGAGGATATTAACGTCAGTGATTATGATTTACTAGAAACCATTTGGTCTCCTCCGCAGGCTACAACTCCTAACTCGGGAAAATCCTCCGGCATCAGATCCAATACAAGAAAATCCTCCAACAACAGAGATCCAATAACAGTATGGTTTTGGTCATCGTGCTCCTCAGCCGCATTATTGTTTTATCGTTACTCGTTTAGATCCGGATCATCAACATTCATTCATGTAATTGTTAATTTTTATTATTTAATAATTATTTAATAATAATTTTGATTATTTAATTATAATTATTTAATTTTTTAATTAATATTTTAATAATTAATTATATGTTTAAATTGTTTATTAAATTAATTATAATTAATTAATAAAATTAAATAATAAAAATTATTATTAAATATATCAGAAAATTTTAAAATAAATTTAAAAAAAAAAAACTTTCACGTCATTTGAAATGACACCAATCTTCTAACTGTATAAAACGTACAATCCTGATGCCATTTCAAATGACACAAACTCCTCTTGTGATATGATGAAAAATTTATTTTATTTTGAAAGTTTTGTTTCTCATATGTGTCAGAAAAAAAATCACAAAAATGTGTTAAATGATTTTACTCCTATATAAGTAAATATGGAGATATATAGTAACCATCGTACAATAACTATAACCCATACACTTGCCAACTCATTAATTAAAGTTAGAAAACATTGACTCCGACAAAAATCTTGCATGAAAGAAAATTGTAGTCTTAAATTATACTTTTGAATTTTGATCACCGTCACTATGACGAAAAGACAATTGGAGAATATAGAACAGAACATTAGGGATAGATCCACCACATAGGTAGCCATAAAAAAGTGATTGTTCCATAAAAAGCCAAACATGATCTAGAAAAAATTCAAAACAATAATAACAAAAAGGTGAAACAAGACCAAAAAGATTGTCTAAAGTCAAAATATAGTACTAGATTTATTATTAGTACTATCTCTGAAGTTTCTTGGAAATATATTCAATGCAAAACGTTGAAATCCAACAAGTTAAAGATTGGAAGAGGAGACCAAAATGAATTTCACAACTAGAGAAGAAGAATGAAGAGTTGAAATGCTTGTTCTGGTGTGAACTTGTGTTGTTTCGTGTTGGATAAGATTTTGTCGTACTACATTGTTGTAATGATGGGATTGAACGATGTGATTTGGTCAAGGACAGAATCTAGTTGGATGCTACTGAGTAACTTGGTGAGCAAGGTCGTGGATAACAAACAATGCATGCGCATGAGAGAAAAATTTGAGAATTTCTTTTCACACCTATTTCTTCAGGATTTCAGGTGAAATTTTCAAAATACCATTATAATTCAGAAGTGTATTTGGGTGTTTTCGATATGCAAATATAAAATAATCTAATATTTTATTTTTAAAGAGTTTTCGAATATAAATATCTGAAATAATTAATTTTAAGTTTTTAAAGATATTTTCAGATATACATATCCGAAATAATCTAATATTTCGTCTGAGAGTTTTCGAATATACATATCTGAAGTATTCCAACAAGGTGTATCAATTCCAACAATTAGAATCAAAATATATTAATTATATTAATTATATTACTCTTATCAATTATTTACATAACTTTTCTATATTTTGAGTATATTAGAAATGAAAAAAAATATTATTTATTTACATAAAATATTTACTTAATATAATAAAAATTTTAATTAAATATAATAATTAATTATCAATTT